TCCTGTTGCTTATTCTATCCTAAGCCCTTCCTGGTTTCACTGTCCCCAGCTTTAATAAACGTATTCTCAAAATAAAAAAATAAAAAATTAAATGCTGAATTACTATATGATCCAGAAATCCCACTTCTAGTTATAGACCCAAAAGAATTGAAAGCAAGGACTTGAACAGATATTTGTACACCCGTGTTTATAACAGCATTATTCATACTAGCCAAAAGGTAGAAACAACCCAAGTGTCCACGGACAGATGAATGATATACAAAATGTGGAATGTACACACTAAGGGATATTATTCAGCATAAAAAAGAAAGAAAATTCTGGCACATGCCACAACATGGATGAACCTTAAAGACATTGTGCTAAGTAAAATAAGTGAGACACAAAAGGACAAATGCTGTATAATCCCACTTACATGAGGTTCCTGGAGTAGCCAAATTCGTGGAGACACGAAGTAGAAAGGTGGCTGCCAGGGGCTGAGGGAAGAGGGGCATGGGCAGCTGTTTAATGGGTAGTTTCCGCTTTGTACGATGAAAAGGGCTCTGGCGGTGGATGGTGGTGATGGTTGCACAATAACGTGAATGTATTTAATTAACACTACTGAACTGTACACTTAAAAAATAGTTAAAATTGTTAATTTTAATGTATAATTTACCACAAAAATCTTAAATAAACAGATGAAATAGAGTAATATTTTATGTATTACAATATACTCAAAATATTATCATTTCAATATGTAATTTTTAATATGATTGAAATGTTTTATATTCTTATCATACTAAGCCTTTGAAAATGTAGCATTCAGCATGTATGTTACACTTACAGTGCACCTCAGTTAGGGCTTGCCAACTTCAAGTGCTCAACAGCCACATGGAGCCAGTGGATGCCTGGCTCTAAAACTTCACCTGCAAGCATCTGCATTCTACTTGCAAAGGCCCCCATCTCCCCTCCAACACTCCTGCAGCTCATCTGCAAACACACCTACAGTTTTTCTGAAAACTTCCCACACCATCTTCAAACACGGCCACGGCTCCAGGCCAATCCCCGAATCTCACTGCAGGCATCTTCAGAGCCTTTGCAGGTTGATCTGACCTTCAAATCACTCCTCTGCATACGTTTTCATGAAGTCCCATATGCCAATGAGAAACACCCTGGCAGGGCCTCAGATGGTCATCTCAAAGTCGGGGAGCCGGTGGCCTGATGCTGGGCAGGAGACCCCCAGATGTGCTTCCTCTTGCTTTCCCTGTGGCTCTTCATCCTCCTCCTCTTCCTGGAAGATCTCCTCCTCCTCCTCCTCTTCCAGGAAATCAACCAGCTCCTCCCGCAGCACCGCCATCTCCAGCCCCAAGCTACACAGCTGGCCGAGCAGCTGGACATCCACTCTTCGAAGTTTCTCCTGCCAGAGGGAAATGGAAGTCATAGGCATTCCACCCAGAGAGCATCCTCCCTTGCCCCTCCCCTGCCCCCCCAACCTGGGTGGGAGCAAGTCCCAGCTCAAGACCTAACAGAGATTCTTTGCTTGACAAAACTTTAGTCAGGCTCCTGTATCTTTTCCTAGGCCTACCTCTGCACCTCCCTGTAAAATCCACTTTTAGCCGGAATCCCCAGCCTCCACACCTGAATACTCTCCATACTCTATCTAAGCGGGTTCCCCATCCTCCCATTTCCCCCAGGTGATGTCTGATCACCCTGGCCTCCCTTCAGCGGGACTCCTGCTGAGTCACTTTACCAAAAATGCCCCTTTCCGTTAATGTAATTTTCTATCCACTAACCCCCAGCGGCTCCTAGGTTGTAAATTTCCACTTGCCCATGCTGTACTTGGAGTTGAGCTCTCTCTCTCTCCTCCACTGCAAAATCCCATCACAATGGTCCCTATACCCATCACCTTACCACCTGTAACGTGTTCTTGGGCAGGTCCTCACTATGTCCCTGGACCTGTCACCCTGCTTCTCACAGTGTCTGTTGAACTGTTTCTGTATTTCACTGTCCCTCCCTGTCTCTGCCTCCCTCTGTATGTGTCTGACTCTTAATCTCTTTGTCTCTTGTTTCCCTCTCTTGTTATCTCTCTCTCTCTCTGTCGCCAGCTGTCTTTGTCTCTATGTCTTTCCATATCCATCTTTCTCTGTCTCTATTTCTCTGCCGTTGTCTCTCGGATTTAATCTGAGTCTCTCTGTCCCTGTTGCTATCCTCAATCTCTACTTTCCAACTCTACCTCTTTCTTTCTGGGTCCCTCTCTGTATCTCTGTCTCTATTCTTATCTCTCATTCTTTGGGTCTATGTGTCTGTTTCTCTCTCTCTCTCTCTCTCTCTCTCTCTCTCTCTCTCTCTCTCTCTCTCTCGGTGTGTGTGTATGTTTATTTCTCTATTCATGTCTCTCAATTTCTGTCTTTCAACCTCTGGCCCTTTCTATTTTCATACATTGCCACTCATTCATTCTCCCCCCACCCTCTATCTCTTGCCCCTCCAAACTCCTCACTCACCAGCTCCTCCCAGATCCACAGCAGACACTCCCTGGTACCTTCAGTGTCTGTCCCTGGGGACATGAGGGTCTGGCCAGCTCTCCATGATGGGGGTACACCCCTCAGGGCCCTGGGGGGTGGACCCAGCCCTGGGGGCACCAGTCCAGCCTGCCTCAGCTGTCTCCACAGCTCCATAGTCTCTGACCAGTGGCTGCCAGGAGCAGGAAGTAGCAAGGTCCAGAATGACCCCACCCCCTGGGGATCTGGGGGGTAGGGGAGTAAAGGGCAGTGGGAGGGTGGTGGTAGGAGGGTCTGACATGGCGTCCCAAAGTCCATTCTTCAGTGAGAATCAGCAATTTTTTCTTTCTGAAGTCTAACCTCAACTCTGTTCACAAGGGTCCAACTCCACCTCCCTCCCCCACCCCCACCTCTTCTCAGGCCTAACCCCTCCCTGTGTTTGGTGTCTATTGATGCCTGGCCCATCCTATCTAGCCCTCTCCTGAGTCCCTCCCACCACTCATCCTCAAACCCCAGGGTGGTTCTTGCCTTTCTCCACTCAGGCCATCCCAGGGCTTCTCAACCAGTCATCTGAGGAGCCAGGAGTGGCTTCCAAGAGAATGGTCCCTCCTCAGCAGGGCTGCCTCCGTGTCCAGGCTGTTGACTTTCACTGAGCAACCAATTCTGCCGACTCTAGACTTGCCCACAGATATTATTACTATCAGCATTGCCAGGGAAACGGTTGGAACACACTCCAGGCCTCGGCTAGAGCCCCTCTGTCAGGCACAGGTGTTCAAATTCCTTTGACGTGTCAATGGCTCCTCAGTTCCTGACTCCAGTCCTGACCTCCCTCCTGAGATTCAGACCCCTGCTCAGCCTCTCCACCTGGATGTCTCAAGGTGAATATGGTCAAAACAGAACTCTCAGTCGGGACCTACCCCACTGTATTAGTTTCCTGGTGCTGCTATAACAATTACCACAAACTTAGTGGCTTAAAATAGCACAAAGTTATCCTCTTACAGTTCTGGAGGTCAGAGGTCTAAAGTGGGTTCACAGGGCTCGGTTCCTTCTGGAGGCTCTAGGGGAGAATGTTTCCTAACCTTACCCAGCTTCTAGAAGCCACCCACATTCCTTGGCTCATAGCCCCTTCCTTGCATCACTCCAGCCTCTTGCATCTATCATCAGGACTCTCCTGCCTCATTTTATAACACCCTCATGATTACATTGGGCCCCCCTCAATTATCCAGGAAATCTCCCCATCTCAAGATTGTTCAGCTTAACCACGTTTTGTTTACCATAGAAAGTAACAGGCACAGTCCCAGGGATCAGAACATGGATATTGGGGCGGGGCAGGGCGGAAGGGGGAGCAGTGAGAGGGGGTCAGGTCATTTTCAGCCTACCACACCTGTCCTTCCAAACACCTGCTATTCCCCATCTCTATCATTTTAGTTGCTCAAGCTGTTGGCCCGACCTTCAAAACAGACTCATAAACTGAACACTTCTCACCATGCTCATTGCCCCATCCTGCTCCTGTCCCCTCATCTCTGGTCTGGATGACCACAGTAGCCTCTTTGCTGCCCCCTGCTTCCACCCTTGCCCTCTAAGATCAGTTTTCAGCCTGGCAGACATGATCTTTACACAGATCTGCCGTGTGAGTGGAATAAAATCCTACCATGCCTGCACAGTCAGTTCCCTGCCCACCTGTCAGACCCCGTCTTCTACCTCTTTTCAAGATGGTTCCCATCTCTGGGCCTTTGCACAGGCTGTTACATTCCAGTGCCTGGAACACTCTCCTCCCAGAATTTTGAATGGCTGTTTCCTTCTTATCCTCCGCTTAATTGTCACCTCTTCCGATGGCCCTTTACCACGGTCACTCCCTATTATATGACCTGTGTTTATTTGCCTCTTATCAAATATTAGCTGAAAGTATGCTGCTTATTCATGTCTCTTATCCATCCTCTCCTTGCCTGGAATGCCGACTCCCTGAGAAAGGGGCTGGGTCTGTCCTGTTCACCACGGTAACCTCAGCACCCAGGGCAGTGCCTGCCCCATGGTACTTGTTCAGTAAATATTTGTGGAATGAATGGATGGATGAATGGATGGATGGATAATTCTATCCACAAGTCTTCACATTGAAGCTTCACTCTGAGCTCCAAACTGAAATCAAACACATCACAATATTAACCTTGAGATCTCACCTCCTCCTCTTACCTGAAGTCTAACCTCACCACCCACTCCGACCTCTTCCCCTCCCAGGAAAAAGAATGCTGGTCGGCTTTTGAGGTACATCATTGCAAGGAGGTAGCGGGTGAGAGCTGGAGAAGAGGGAGCTCAGGGAACCGAGGCTGCAGTCACAGGAAGGAAGGTGCTCTGACAGGAAGCACTGCCCACCCTCCCCTCGGGAAAGCGGAGAGGGTCCCATTATAAAGTCTACAGACAGGGCACGCAGGGCAATCTCTCAACCCGAGTAAAAAGTGCGTGTGCCTTTAAGAGGAGAATGCAACCATAAAAAAAGATGCAGAGCCAGGTGGGTGGGACAAGAAAGGACCGGCCCCTTCCGGTTACATAATCTCAACAAGATGGCGGCGCCCAGGGCGGTAGGTCTCGGGGTTCCTAGAACCCCCAAATTGAAGTCCGCTCGGCTGCCTCTGCCTTCAGGGCCTCTGCCGGCGCCCAGGCAGCGAGGGGCGCGGGGCAGCAGGAGGACCCCGGCCAGGCCTCGCGCTGGCAGTGGAAACGGGGCTGCTGGGGGCCGGGAAGGACGCTGTGGGTCGCAGGCTGCTGGGGAGCTTCAGCGAGAAGAGGGGGCGGGGACTGGCTGAAAGAAGCCAATAAAGGAGCAGAGAATGCGTTCCGATGGGCGCACCCAGCCAATCAGAGGCAGGGATGAGGGACGATGAGCCGGCGAGACTGGGACTTGTGCTTTGGCCGGTAGCTCAGTGGATAAAGTAGCGCGTTTCCCCACCCACCGAAGGCTCGCGGGTTCGATTCTCGCAGGGGCACGAATCTGGGGTGCTGGCTCGATACCCTGAGGGAGGCAACCAGTCTTTACCTCCCTTCCACTCTTTCTAAAACAATGGGGGGAAATATCCTCGGGTGAGGATTAACAAACCAAAAAGAGAGTGAAAGGAAGGGGTTTGGAAGGGTAGGACTCCACAGAAAGCCAGTAAGGGAAACTTAGGACAGTTAGGAATTTTGATGGAAAACCAAAGGGATGTTGATGGGATGGGGGAACCAAGAGGTAACTTTGGGTGTTCCAAGGAAAATACGTGGGAGGATTAAGGGGAAATTTTTCAGTATTTGTGGAGAAAATTTGGAGAGAATTGGGTAAAAGCAGCAATGCAGTTAGAGAAAATTAAAATAAGAGGTTGGGAGCTTATGAGGAATTTTGAGGGAAAATAAAGATTTGGGCAAGTTTTAGGGAAAAGAGAGAAGTTGGTTAAAGCAAAAAGAAAAATTGGGGGCAGGCTAAGAGAAGACTTTGAAGAGAAGTTGAAGAGTTTGAGGGTGGTTTGGAAACAAACTAAACAAATTAAGATTATATTTGGGGGAAAGAATTTGGTTATTCAGGAATACTCCAGGGAAAATTGGGTAAAATTAAGGGAAGAAACTGTGGGAAATTAACAGGTCAGATAATGGAGGTTTTGAGAGAAAATAAGCATTTGAGGGGAAAATAGAGAATTTGGGAAAACCAAGAATGTTTGGTTAAATCAGAGAGACAATTTAGAGTTAAGAGGAAGAACTTGGGGAAAACATGGAGGGAAATCTGGGAATCCAAAATGCGGAATTTCGAGATTCTGAAAGAATTTAGTGAATCAAGAACATTTTGTGTGTGTGTGTGGGGGGGGGGGGTGTTCATAAACCAAGAACAGAACAGAGGGGTGCAGCTCAGTCTCACAGGAGGCTCTCCAGGCTCAGCCTCTCCTCTCTTCCTCCCCAGTCCCTGCACCTGGTGGCCCCCAAATGGAATTTGGGTACCAGCGGTATCCGTGGTCTGAGCAGTGCAGTGACCCCAGAGGGCAATCAGAGGAAGGGAAGGATGCTGCTCCAATTCCTGACTGACCGCTTCTATGATGTGGAGGCCATAAGGCAGTACCTGTTCCAAAAGCAGGTGTCAAAGGTGCACAAGGAAAATCGGTGAGAACCCCTGGCCTGCAAGACCCTACTGCTCTGCCTCACTGATCAGAATCCAGACCCTGCCCTTGCCACTCCTAGGTGGTCCTGTGGCTTCCAGTACTAGCCATGCCAACTTCTGTCTTCGTCTATGGCTCATACCCTTTCCAAGGACTCCAGTTCATGCAGGCAACTTGCTGCCCATCATCTCTTGGTCTAGCCGGCTCCTCAGACCTAACGTGGTTAACAACAAATGCTTGATTTCCCCCTAAAAGGCCTGCTTACCTCCAAGCCTTCCCCATCCCAGTCAACAGCACCACTGCCCACCCCGTTGTTCAGGCCAAATTCTAAGGAGTCATCCCTGATTCCTCTGTTTCTCTGCCCTCTACGTCCAGTTGGTCAATAAAATACTAGAATATCTCAAATTTGACCAGTTCTCACCTCCTTCACTGTTTGTAGCCAGAGCAGAGACTCTTCATTTTATGGTTGGATTACTGCAGTCATCTAGCTGGTCACTGTTTGCCCCCACAGTCTATTTATAGGTTACAAAGCAGCCAAAGGACTTTTTAGAAAGTAAAATAGAGAACACTGCCATTTTGCTTGAAACCCTGAAATGGTTTCCAGTTGCAACTAGAATGAAAGCCAAACTCGAAAGCCCAAAACCTGGTACCTACTGAGCTTTGAGATGCCTACTAGGGACTCTCCTCACCCCTGCAACATGGTATCTTTATTGCTGTTTGTTCAACTGTCCTAATTTGAGCTGCTGGGCCTTGCACTAGCTGTTCCCTTGACCTGGCAGCCTCATGCCTTGACCTCTGCATTCCTTCCTGCCGCTCAGATCTCTGCACAAGTTTCACCACCTCCAAGAAAAATTTCTTATCAGCCAAACTACATTAGCCTTCTCCACCCCCACCCCTGACCCAAGCCACTCCTAGTCAGTCCCTGTGTTCTACTTTCCTCCTGGAATTGATACTGCCTGCAACTCGCTCTCCTGGTTTATTACTGCTTCTCCCTGTAAATTAACTTCAGAAGGGCAGGGACAGTTATCTGCCTTGGTCACCACTGCCCCCCTGTGCCCAGCATTTAATAGGCACTCAGTAAATATTTGCAGCCTGACTCCGTGTGCCCGTCGGTCCTGATACTGTGGACTCTGACCGTGTCAGCAGCACGGGCATGGTGAGGGGTGCAGTGCTCCCAGGCCTCACCCTCAGCTACTGTTCTCTCGGCAGATCCTCCACCGGCATCAAGAAACAATACGGCCCATACATCGCAGGAGCCTATTTTGTCCTGAAGCAGGGAGGAGCAGTCAAGTATGACAGCAAAGGTGTCAAAACGGGGATGGGGGAGGCCAACGATGGGCTCTCTAACCTCAGGCTCTTCAGTCAGGCAGGCTTCCCTGTGAGTCCCCCAGCCTCTGCCCCCTACTGGCTGGGGCTTGGGGCTTGGGGCTTGGTCCCAAGCTTCCATTTTGTCATCTGTAACATGGAATGGTAGTTGTAGCTAACCTATAAACACATTTTGCAATGTAAACGCATGGCACAGGTGTTCAATAAATACTAGTTTCTTTTCTCTTCCCTCTTCCTCCTCCGACCTTTGGGAGATTCCTCTCACCACCTTTTTTTGGTGTAATATATTTTATTGATTTTTTACAGGGAGGAAGGGAGAGGGATAGAGAGAGTCAGAAACATCGATGAGAGAGAAACATCAATCAGCTGCCTCCTGCACATTCCCTACTGGGGATGTGCCCGCAACCAAGGTACATGCCCTTGACCGGAATCAAACCTGGGACCCTTCAGTCCCCAGGCCGACGCTCTATCCACTGAGCCAAACCGATTAGGGCCCTTTTCTTTTCTTCTTGCTTGAAAAGCAAAATTCATGTATACTTTATCTACTTCTCATCGTTCTAATTAAAATTTTTATTTGGTTTGTGCATTTCCCCCAGCACCTTCCTTAGAAATGATTTACGTATCTGAAAATGTCTCAACTTTTGCCCATCTAGAAAGGTTCTTACATCATAGCTCTTTTGTGTTATCAGTAATGCCTCCAGCCCTCAGCTTCTAGGTACATAAAACTGGCCAAACATTCCATATTTGATAGGATCATCATGGGATCCAATGAGACCAGACGTGTATACCCCTTAGAACAAGAGCAGACACAGTACCATCATTGTATTATACGGGCTGGGTAGTGGTCTCAGGAGGTTGGAGGCTTGGGGATAAGTGGGGTACCCACCTGGAACCTCCTTTCCAGATTCCAGGGCGAAGAGTGGATTCGGTCCAAGCATGGCTACTCCCCTCTCCAGTTGTTGAGTTTCCAGGCGGTACCTATAGAGGCGGTGGATGCCAGTGACTGTGCCATCAACTACGAAGGCCTGGACAACCTCTGTGAGTGGGGTGGTGGGGTAGAGATGGGTGGGCTCTGCATTTTCCCTTTCGTGGTGGGTTCCAGAGGGGTCTCAGTGCCATCTGCCCTCTCCCTCCTGCAGTGGCCCTGAAGGAGCTGCAATCCCTGTTGCTGCAGCGCTGTCCCCATGTGGATGACTGGTGTCTCAGCCGCCTCCACCAGCTGGCCAATTCATTGCAGGAGCTCTCGCTGGCTGGTTGCCCCCGAATCTCTGAAAGGGGCCTCGCCTGCCTCCATCACCTCCAGTAAGACCTCAGCTCAGCTGACCCCCAGCCCCACCTCCCCCCACATCCCCCCTCCCCTGAGCCAGGACAAGAGCTCCCACCCAGCTCACATATGGGAAAGTGGGGAGGGAGCAGTGTCAGGCAGTTCCCTGTCTCCCTGCCTCCATGACAAACCTAGTGTCTGGTGGGTAAGCACAGATGAGCAGTGGCAGTGAGTCTCTGGGGGAATTAAAAGATTCCCTAGTTTTTCTTTTGGTTTTAATGAAAACTCCATGATATTTACACTGTTGTAGAACCATAGGAGCCAGAGGTGTCTATTTGTAATTAACACACTGGATTCATGGATTTGGGCATTCTCTAGACAGTTAAAGATGTTTATTTTAAGAAGCTAGGGGTTGAATGGGGGCCATTGCACCCCCTCCACACACTCTCTCACAGATGCTGTCCTTATGCGGGCCTTCCCCCTCCTTGCTTCCTCAGGAACCTCCGCAGGCTGGACATCTCAGACCTCCCTGCTGTGTCCAACCCAGGCCTCACTCAGATCTTGGTGGAGGAGATGCTGCCCAGGTGTGAGGTCCTGGGGGCTGAGTGGGCCCAGGGCCTGAAGTCGGGGCCGGAACAGCAGTCTCAGGACACAGCCAGCCCCATCCCTGCCTAGTCACAGCCCGCTCCCCATCCAGGTGGATCTCAGCCGACAGTTCTACTTCTGGCTCCCAGTTGGGCTCACTCACTGGGAGGGTTGGGGTGGGACGAGGGATGTGGCACTGGCAGGTCAGGGGGAAGGAGAGCATGTGGTCCCCCCCTCATGGACTGGCTACACTCTGGACTGAAGGCCACAGCTCCTGTCATCCTGTCAGGCAGCCCTTCCCACACACTTGTAGTTCTAGTAACTTCCTGCCTGGCCAGGCCTGGGGCAGGTAGGACTCTCAAGTAGCCCAGAGAGCTGCATTCTCTCTTGTGGCCTCCTCTTTGCCCACTACTGTGTCGAGACTTCTCAAATTAACCTCATTTAGGTGTGCTGTTTCCCTACTGATATAGGGGGTGCTCCTGGCATTCCAAAGGGATGGTTGTTCCGGGTGGGTCTAGTCAGCTCACCGCAGGGTACAGCCCCCTTGCCCACACTCACTAAATGCCAGTAGCATCCCAAGTCCTATGGTGTTCCGGCTTACTGACTGACTTAGCTGCAGATTCAACTTTTTATCTGCACTGTGACAACTGATCTGGGCCTTTGAAATATTTTTCCTTTGCTAACTGGCATAAGCCTTGTCAGTAGGAGGCGCTCGAGAGACTGCAGGAAGCAAGGCTTTTGTTTCCTGGTTCCTGTTCAGGTGTGCAGGCTCCTGCCTCGCTAGCTCTCTGGTGGCTTCTCCATTGGGGCGGGGGGGGGGGGGGGGGGGGGGGGGGGGACACACGCATGTGTGTCAGCAGCCTCCCCTGAAACCCCACCCTGCCCCACCTGGCAGTTTCCTAGAGGCATACTTTCACTGGGCTACCTCCTGTGAATGACTCCACCACACCCCAGAGGTGATTTCCAGTAAATTCCAAGGCACCTTACCAGTGAATCCTGCGTCACTTCAATTCGCTGTTGAAGTCAATAATTATATTAAACGTTCCCTGTTCAGATTACTGGGGTTTTTTTCCCTCTCCTGATTGGCTCCAAACTGGTACAGCACTGGTATGCAGAGTGTTCCAGGAGACAGGCTCACGGAGATGGGACTACAGTCCGTGGCACGCAGTCCCAGTCAGGCCGTCGCAGGTTTATTGTGAGGAGGTGCAGCCGAAGCACGAGCCCCAGGAGCCCCTCTGGCTGCAACGCCTGACTGCGGTGGCAGTGATGACTATTCTAAAGATAGGCCTTGGACAGATTCTCTGCAGTGCCCTTGAGTGCCTACAGATAGACAAGGACGAGCTCGGGTCTGCCACCTCAGCTCAAACCACTATCTGCGGACTGGAGCACTTCTGTGACAGCCCCCTAGTCAGTTCTCGTAGCCACAGGGCTGATAGAACTGAAAATACGACACAGCATTTAAGTCTGCAGGTTGATGATGGTTGAATTCCAGTCTCTTCATGTGAAAGTGAGGGTGCTGACTGGTCAACAGTGAGATCTTGAAATTTCGGATGCGGTTGTCTCGCTGGACCAGAAGAAACACGATCTTGAAACCCCACCTCACTCTGAGCCTCCTCCGCAGCATCTGAGGAGGACACCAGTCTTCCTGTGCTTGAAACCCCCGGATGTAATGGGGAAGAAGCCCTGAGAGTGTCCCTTCTCAAGAGTCATCACAAGCACCCTGCCGTCACTACACCCATAAAACCCAGGGCCAAACCTCAGCAAGCCCAGGGGCCAGGTGCTCCCTGTGACCCAGGAGCAACAGCTTATACACTGAAGCACTTGTACAGTCAGAACCTGGGGGACCGGTGCAGGAATGGATTCTAAGGGTGTAACAGTGAGGGTGGGAAGTCACTGGTACAAGGGTACTTACTAGAGATTCTGGATTTAGTGGGTTAGCTTGTGCAGCTGGGGGTGGTTCTAACAGCTATCTTGGTTGGGTGACTTGGACTTGGATTCAACACTGGCCTACAGGTAATGAGGCAAAGAAGTCAGAAGGGATGTTGGGTTGATCATGGTTGACCTGCACTTCTACCTGCCGGCCTCCGCCATGCACGACCCCCCCTTCACCACCATCCCCCCCACCCCTGTTCCATAGAAGGCACCTCTTGACACGCAACTGTCCCTGTTCCCATTGCTGTGCCTTCCCTCCTGATTGGACCCAGATTGATGCACAAAACAATAAAAATTGTACCCTCCGAGATTTCCAAAAACACTCCCAGAAGGGATAGTGTCTCCCCTGTGGAGAACCTCTGCAACCCCTGGGAGTAGATAGCTGAGCCGGGAGAGCTCAGGGGGCTTGGACCCCTCTCTCCAAGCCCCGGGGAAGGCTTAGACCCCCACCAGGGGTGCTGAGGCCCCTGACCCCTGCCCCTGATTGTCATTTCCCACTCTAGCTTTTATTCCATTAATATTCCCCACTTCCTCCACACTGTCTTCCTCCAGCTGGTCCCATGGGCTCTATTATTCAAACTCAAGGGGAGGAAATCAGCACTGGACAGATAATCCACTGCTGTGGCTAACAGACAGGGTCCCCAAGTGGAGTGAAGGGGGTCAGGCCAGGCTTAGTCCTAACCCAGGTTCCAGGAGGTCTGGGATGAGGAGGCCCCACCTTCTACCCTCCCCAGACAGCTGCTGCAGCCCCAACAGCAGAATCCTCGGGAGGGCATCCGGTGTAAACAGGCAGACAACCCCTCCTGTCCCTGGGGGCCGGATGTGAGTGTTCTCGTGTCCCTGTGCAGCTATGGGCAGGACTGGAGTGGGGCCGGGTAGGAATAGGTTCCCACCCTGCTAGTCAGGCAGCCCGGCTCCAAAGAGGATGAAGGTGCAGGGTTGGCTCAGCTTGAAGGCTTCCTGTGCCCCCCGCCCCCCCCTAATGCCCTCTAACTTGGTTCCACCTGCAGCTGCCCCTTCTCCTTCCATCTGGTTCTCTCCTGCTGCTCCTCCCCGGCTCCCTTCTCAGGCTCTCCCTGGGCCTGGCTGTTTATAGACTCCCTCCTCTGATTCCATTTGAGCCCCTCCACCTGCCTCTAAATCTTCCCCTTGACCCTCCCCCCTCAGAGGCTTCCTGGCCACCCCTTATCTCTGGCTGTCTCCATTTCTTTCATCCTCACACACCTCTCTCCACTCTTTCCTCTCCTCTCTCCTCTCTCCCTCCCTCTCCAGTGCTCCCCTCTTTGCATTCTTGAGTCTCTATCTCCTGTCTCTTCTCCCTGCCTCCTCATGAAGTCTCCCTCACCAGCTGTCTGTCCTCACCAGCCCCCTTCCCCATTCCACCCGGACTCTGGGCAGCAACGCCACCGCCATCTCTAGCAGGCTGACCCTTTCCCTCTCAGCACATTCTCTGCCACCTCCTCCTTCCACCAATCATTAGCCCCTCGCCTCCAGTTTTGCAACTTTGGGACTGTGCCTGTCTCTGGGCCATTCCAATACCACCCAGCCCAGGTTCAGGCCTAGCTCTCAGTCTCACCCTCCCTCCGATTCTCCCAGGCCCCTGGGTCTCCTGTCCCAGGCCTCACCAGGTGCCCCAATCTCTGCAGCAATTCCCTCTGCTTCACCAGAAAACCAGCCCCAACAAGCCAGAGCCCCATCTCTTAGGTCGGCCTCCTGCCCTCCCCCTCCCCTGCCTCCCTCAGCCCCGCCCCGGCCCCTCCCAGCCCTTGGGGCCCTCCCAGCTGCCGGCTCCCCTCCCGCCCCACCCCTCTGGTTGGGCTGGGCTGGGCTGGGCTGGGCTGAAGAACAATGACATACGAAGAAAGAAGACTCAGCCCCTGCACGACCTGGGCAAAAGGGAGGGAGCTGGAAGGGCCTGACCAGAGGCCCGGGGTGCCGGAGCTGGACCCAGAGGTAAAGAGGGCTCCCCAGTCTCTGGGGTGGGGGCAGATGGAGCGAGGGAGTTTGGGTTTCTCTGACGCTGGAAGGAGCTGACCCCAGGGATCCTGATTCCTGGAGAGGGGGATGAATGGGGGAATGGAACAAGCTGTGGGATTGAGCTGAGAGGGGAAAGAGTGGGTGTTGGAATGGGATTGGAGCAGTAATTCCAGGTTCAGGAATAGGGGCTGGTTTAGGGTCTGGGACTAAGGCCATTACTGGGTTGGTGGGAACTCCAAAGGCCTCTGTGGCTCCTTTGCAGCTCCCACGGCGGCCATCCCTTCCCCGGGCTGGGTCATGCGCTGCCCCAAGTGCCTTCTCTGCCTGTCAGCACTGCTCACGCTCCTGGGCCTCAAAGTGTACATCGAGTGGACATCCGAGTCTCGGCTGAGCAAGGTCTATCTGGGACCCCAGGGCACCCTGCCAGGCCCCTCGCCAGCCAGTCCTGAGCCCACCCTGCCAGCTAACCTCTCAGCCCGTCTGGGCCAAACTGGCCCACTGCCCTTGGCTTACTGGAACCAGCAGCAGTGGCGGCTGGGGGCCCTGCCCAGTGGGAACAGCACTGAGGAGGGAGACTGCCGGGCTTGGGGGGCTGCCGCGGCTGCTGAAATCCCCGATTTCACCTCCTACCCTGAGGACCTCCGCCGATTCTTGCTGTCAGCAGCCTGCCGGAGCTTCCCTCAGTGGCTGCCTGGAGGTGGCCGTGGCCAAGTGCCCAGCTGTGGGGAAACCAATATCCCCTACCTGCTGCTGGCTGTCAAGTCGGAACCAGGGCGATTTGCTGAACGACAGGCCGTGAGGGAGACCTGGGGTGGTCCCGCTCCTGGAATCCGCCTGCTCTTCCTGCTGGGGTCCCCAGTAGGTGAGGGGGGTCCTGACCTAGGCCCTCTGGTGGCCTGGGAGAGCCACCGCTACAGTGACCTGCTGCTCTGGGACTTCCTGGACGTTCCCTTCAATGAGACACTCAAGGACCTGCTGCTACTGTCCTGGCTGGGCCACCACTGCGCTGGTGTGAGCTTCGTCTTGCAAGCTCAGGACGATGCCTTTGTGCACACTCCTGCCCTGCTGGACTACCTGCGGGCCCTGCCACCCAGCTGGGCCCGAGGCCTCTACCTGGGTGAGGTCTTTTCCCAGGCCAAGCCCCTCCGGAAGCCTGGAGGACCTTTCTATGTGCCCATGTCCTTCTTTGAAGGTGACTACCCGGCCTATGCCAGCGGGGGTGGCTACATCATCGCTGGGCGCCTGGCACCCTGGCTGTTGCAGGCAGCAGCCCGTGTGGCACCGTTCCCCTTCAACGATGTCTACATTGGCCTGTGCTTCCGTGCTCTTGGCCTAGCGCCCAGGGCCCACATAGGCTTCCTCACAGCCTGGCCAGCAGACCGCAGGGCTGACCCCTGCGTTCTCCGTGACCTGCTGCTGGTGCGACCCATCAGACCCCAGGAGAGCCTTTGGCTCTGGAAACACCTGCAGGACCCTCAGCTCCACTGCTGAGCCTCAGTGGGGTTGGGCGGGGAGGGTCAACCTGGCCTGGGCCAGGGCCTCAGTGCCTGCCTCTTGCCTGCCCCTTGCTCAGCCTCTCTGTGAGGAGGTCCTAGAATCACGACTGCTTGAGCCCCTCCTGGGCTGGCCCAGGCTATGGGACCGAGCAGCAGGAGGCAGAGGACTGTTTCTGTCTACTTTTTGTTTTTGAAAAATATGAACAACCCACTCTGAGGCTTAGAGTTGTCTTTGTGCCTATGGGGCCCTGGGAACTTTATAAGAGCAGAGCTCAGCCACCCATACCCTGCACACCCTGACCTTTAGACTAGACACCCTCCCCACCCCTACTGGACAGGGCCAGCTCCAACAGCCTCCTGGTCACCTTGCTGGACACCAGGTTTGCCTCACTCCATGGGAGAGCAGGAGTCCAACTCTGGAACATCCCAACCACCCTGTCTGCTGAAGCTGGCCCCCCACCTTGTGAAAGTTTCCAGGGAAGTAGATACCTCAACAGCCTTGGCCTTATCCATCTAACTCAGTGGTTCCCCACGTAGGGCACGTGCCCCACAGGGGGGCAATTTGATTTTTAAGGGGGCAATTTGAGAATGAGTTATTAACAGTAAATGTTTTGCATCTTTATGGTTCTAGGAGCCTCATATACAGTATGTAAGTACATATTGTGACATATTTATGCATTCCAGTTCTCTTGTTTTGAAACTTTGCTATTTTTTCATATCACTTCATATTATTTTTTTAACAATTTCTTAGTGATTTCTTCTTCCTCAGTACTTCAACTGTCCTTTCATTCTTTTATTTTTCTCTTTTATGGATGCCATGTTCTTTGGGAGCTTGTTTAGACCAAGTTAATAGCCTTTTTAGGCTTCCTCCACGTGAATAGGAGCTCACTTTTTGAATAATAAGAATTATATGTCACAGGGGGCGGGGGGGCGCATCAGGATTTCAGAGACGCTTAGGTGGGGCACGGACAAAAAAAGGTTGAGAACCACTGATCTAACCGAAGGGGCAGGGTCCCAAACCAGTCATGCAGGACTCCCACCTCCAAAACTCCAGGAAACAGAGACCAAAGGTGTCAGAGAACCAAATGTAGACAGTTTATTCACTGCCTGCTGATCACCCCTCACTTTGAGTAAGTGCTTGCCCCTAGCCCAGAGGGGCTTCCAGTCCTGGAGGCATCCTACCTAGCTCCTGAGAGAAGGCACTGCAACCACAAAGTGGGGGCTGAGAAGGCCCCCCAACAATGTAATAGCCTAGAGGAGCTGGGATGGTGAGCAGAAGCCCCCCCTTACTATCTCAGTCCTGCCCTGGCTCCTTGGAGGGTGCTGGCTGGGGAAGAGGGTGGTATCCTGCCAGCTGCCTCCACCCCTCAGCCTGGGACTGCCTCTCAGGGTACCTGAGATGGGTGGGGTGGGGCGAGCAGGCCTCACTTCTCAAAGTGGTCCAGGGGATAGTGCTCGCCATAGGTCTGGAGGTGACGGGCCAAGGACTCCTGCTGCTTGCGGAGCTGGGCAGGCATCTCCTCATACACATCCGAGAAGAGCAGACTGGGATTGGGCTTCAGCTTCCGCTCGGCCTGCTCGAAGGCCTCCATCACCTGGAGGACACGGGATGGTGGGCAGGTAACTGGCCTCCCATCCAGGGCCCTGCCTCCTACCTGTAGGACTCCAGTGAGGCATTAACCCCCCTGAGCCTTTGTGTTCCCATTGGGACAACGAAGACAATCATTATCACAGTGGTGATAGCTATCATCCCCATCAATGCCCCCAACCCCAGCATTTCCATCCTTCCAGGACTAGGTACTGACCTAAGCCTATAGAATGGTTTCAGACTCAACAGCCCTAAGAAGCAGGCTGGTTAGAGATAAGGAAACCAAGGCTCAGAAAAGAGACTTGCCCGTGACAATGTAGTTAGGGACAGAGCTGGACACACTGCTGCCTGACGCCAGGGCCGGCCCTTACCTCTGGCTCCTGATGACCAGGGCCAGGGAGGACATGGGCTGGCCGTGGGTGGGACACTTACACCACATGCAGATTAAGTCATCCCATCCCCAACCTTCTGAAGCGCGTACCCAGGATCCCTCTTCAGAGATGAGAGAGCAGAGGGCAGACATTGTGCCAAGAACATGGCTGAGGTGCATGTGTCCAGGCAGCCTGGCTCCATAGGCCACATTTACAGGTGTCCCTGGGGTGATCCCCGAGTCTCCCAGTTCAATGTCCCCCAAATCCCAGCCTCCAACCTTCCAGGGTTCTCCATAATGCACCAGCTCCAGACACCACCTGGGACTTCAGTTTCCAACAGAGGGAGCCCCTCACCTTCTTGCGGGACTGCTTCCTCCAGGCCTTCTCCTGCTCGTCGTCCCACCAGCCACGGCTCTGCATGTAGTGCCTCAGCCGGGAGATGGGGTGGTCCTGCTTGTCCCAGTAATTGACCTCATCCACCGAGCGGTATGCCGAGCTGTCATCACTGGTGCTGTGGTGCCCAATCCTGCTCAAGGCAAGGAAGGGGATACAACTTGGGGTGATAGGGTCAGGCTTTGGAGACCCCAGTGATCAATGTGGGGAAGATGGTAAAGATGGTGGCTGTCAAGGCTGATGGGAATGGGGGGAGGCAGGCACCTATAGGTCATGGCTTCAATGAGGAAGGGCTGGTTCTCTGCCACGGCCCGCCGCCGGGCCTCCTTGGTGGCATTATACACGGCGAACACGTCATTGCCATCCACACGGATTGACAAGATGCCGTACCCGGGGCCTCGAGCCGCTGTGGGAACAGAGAGAGGCAGCTCAAACCCCATGGCTCTGATGAGGACAGTGAGCAGGGAAGGAAAGGGGAGGAGAGCCAACAGAGCAGCGCTCCATTCACTGTCTCCTGCGACCTCCCTGTGTCGCAGGAAGAGGACAGGAGGGGAGAGAGGAGATGACACAGGTCCATACCGATGCCATCGCCGCGGTACTGCTCAGAGGTGGGTGTGGAAATGGCATAGCCATTGTTCCGGCAGAAGAAGATGATGGGGCACTCAAGGGTGGCGGCGAAGTTGAAGCCGGCATGGGCATCCCCCTCACTGGCTGCCCCCTCACCGAAGTAACAGATAACAATCCTGTTGGCATTGGCCCGCTTGGCTGCGTAGGCTGCTCCCACCGCTGCAGGCAGTGAGAGGGTGGTAAGCAGGAGCAGGGCACCATGAATACTCATCGCCCTCACACGCACACGCACACGCATTCTCACCCTGAGGAATCTGTGTGGCCAGTGGAGAGGAGATGGTGACGAAGTGACGTTCCTTGCAGCCATAGTGGACGGGCATCTGGCGGCCCTTACCCAGGTCGTTCACGTTGCCATAGCACTGGTTCATGAACTGTTCCAGGGGGAAGTCCCGATACATCAGCACGCCTGCATGGGGAGGAGGCAGCAGTTAGTGGGGGAGGGGGGCCTAAGGGGGTAGACAAACCCTGTGGGGGTCCCAGGGCAAGGCCCTTCCTGCCCAAACTTCCAAATTTCCTGTTTGTACAGTTAAGGGAGCTGAACAAGAGCAAGGGAGGCATACTGTCATGCTTAGGAGACCAGCAGGTGCAGGAACCAGGTGGGCAGGCCAGAAAACACCAGGCCTGACCCTGGCTGGTTTGACGCAGTGGTTAGAGGGTCTGCCCTCAGACTCAAGGGTCAAGGGTTCGGTTCCCAATCAAGGGCATGTACCTCGGTTGCAGGTTCCATCCCGGCAACCAGTCAATGTGCCTCTCTTACATCAATGTCTCTCTTCTCCCACCCCCCCTCTTTCACTCTCTCTTAAAAAAATAATAATAATAAAATCAATGGAAAAAATATCCGCCGGTAAAGATTTTAATGCAAAAAAAAATTTTTGAAGGAAGCCACTGTTCAGACCAACTGATTGCTACCCAGGGAGGCTATATCATTCAGTTTTTCAAAAGACAAAGACATCCAGCTTGCTTTGTTTTGTTTTTTTTTTTAAATGAGAACATACCTAATTTCTTTAAACAAATCTCTGGTGGATGCCTACCTACCATCAAAGAGAGCCGACCACAAGGCTCTGACAGGGAACTGTGATGCCCACCTCGCCTGGCTGATGAGGGGTTCCCTGAGGCAGCACAATCCAGGCATGTTGTTCTGAGTACCCTTGTTCTCCCCACTCCACAGCGGGGAGACTGAGAGTCAAGGATGGGCAGAGTCCACCTCACCTTGCCTCAGCAGCTGCCCAGAAGCAGGGCCTTGTGTTGACTGTGGTGCCAGGGCCCAAACAGTCCTGTGTGGAGTGCCCAGCTGCCACCACGAGTCCAGGACCCTCACCTGGCCCTGCCTGGAGACCCCAACAGCAAAAACGGGCAGGAAGCACTCTGCAAACCCGGCTTGCAGTCGTTTCTGGGGAAATCTTCCTTGCTAACAATGCTGAACCACGGCCTATCACAGGGTGTCTGTCCTCTTACAGCATGTGGGGTTGGGGGTCAGGTGCAGCGGAGAGGGGAGTAGACAGTCCAAGAGTAGACCAGAACACCCTACTGGTCAATGGAGGCTCTGCACAGCCAGCCTGGCCAAGTCCTGCCTCCCTCCTGAAAAGCTATCCCAGGCTGAGAGGACCCAGCCAGTCACAATATCACTCCACACTGAGTGCTTACCCCAGGCCAAGCCCTGAACTAACGGCTTTGCGTCATCTCTCCCACAAACGCCCTCAACAACCATATTGAAAGAAAGCGTTCGCCATCTCCCATTATACATGAGAAAACCAAGGAGCAGTTGAGCAACTTGCCCTCGGTCATGAAGTACTTATGAGGAAGGCTCAGATTTGTCTCCCTGGAAGCCCCAGAGGGGAGGCTCTCTGGCAAGGCCCCCACACCAACAACCAGTCTGGAACCACCCGTTGGGCTCCCCAGGCTAACTCTTCACCCGCATCACTCTTTTATGCACATTGATTTTCTTCAGTCCTAGCCTTTGATGCTTCCTTCCCTGCACTTGTTCACTTAGAAGTCAGCCAGCTCCCTGGCTGGGACCTGCCAGGCCTTCCCATCTGCTTCTGTCCCTGAAGGCTGCGGCACATGGAGGGAGGCCAGCAGAGCTCACATGGTGTGGACAAGGGCCCACACCTGCAGCTAGGCCTGCCCTTACTGCATGTTCCCAGCAACCCCCAGTGCAGGGGTTACAATACCATCATCATCTTGATTTTGGAGATGAGAAAACTGACACTCAGAGAAGGGAAATGACCTGCCCCAAATCTGACAACTGGTAGCCATGGACCAACTAGGAGCACAGCTTTTAACCACAACAGTGCCGGGCTTACACAGAGGGGAAGCCCACCCCCTCCAAACTCCCATACCTGGCTTGGCTCTCTCTTGCTTGAAAAGCTCTTCCTCCAGCTCCTTGGACCTCCCTGACGTCTTGTCGCTCCGCAAAGAGCACACGGAGTAACTAATGTGGGCTGCGCCTTCACGCCAGGAGGGACTGGGCCTGACCTGCCTTGATGGGGACCACAGACCCAGGCCTCTGGCATGTGTTCCACAGGGCAGGGCCATGGGCAGACGTACCTGCCTCCCGGTACTGGCCAAACACCAGGTCAGTGCTGTCCAGGGCTGCTGCACTCCCCACGTGCGTCCCCTCCTCACCATAGTTGGTCATGTAGAAGGAGATCCGGCCCTGGGGGTAGAAGGGGGTCCAGAGGCCCAGGCTCAGTTATGCTGGGGAACCACAGAGAGCCATCCAAATCCTGACTATCTGATGACTCGGTTGATCAACTTCCTAAAGGCCATTCTGGGCCAGGCCACAGTTTCACCCTTCATGGAGGAACTGCAAGACTGGTTAGAGCCAGAGTGAGGGAGCTGTGTGATGGAAGCTGTAAGGACATACCCACCCCACCAGGGAGGGGCACCAGGGAGCAATGCCTAAGCTGAGTGAAGGCAGAGAGAACAATAAAGGCCAGGAGACTGGAAGGGCTGGGACATGAAGTGGGAAAAGTGGGGAAGGATGTGGCAGGAGATAGAAGCAGAACCCAGGCAGTGCAGAGAATGACACATCTGGACTTCACCCGGAGAATGGTGGTAACCTGCTCATGGTTCTCTTTGGGGAGTGATGTTTTAGAAAGGTCTCTCAGGCTACTATGTGGGAAATGGATGGAGGAAACAGGACTGAGTGCAACAAGCTATGCAGAAGGGCCAGTGGCCTGGCCTGTTAGTGCTGAAAAGCAGGGAGAGGAATGGATGGTTGACAATCTTAAAAAGCAGTCTCGCCCTAGCCGACTTGGCTCAGTGGATAGAGCATTGGCCTGCAGACTGAGGGGTCCCAGGTTCGATTCCAGCCAGGGGCACATGCCTGGGTTGCGGGTTCGATCCCCAGTAGGGGGCATGCAGAAGGTAGCCAATCAATGATCCTCTCTCATCACTGATGTTTCTATCTCTCTCCTTTTCTCCCTTCCTCTCTGAATTCAATAAAGAAATTTTTTTTAAAAAAGCAGTCTCCATGCTCAATTTGACAGCAAATATACTAAAACTGAAATGATACCAAGATTAGCATGGCCCCTATGCAAAGGTAACATGCAAATTCGTGAAGCATTCCATATTTTTTATTTACAATAATCATGACATGGAAGCAACCCAAGTACCTATCAATAGACAAGTGCACAAAGAAGATGTGGTACATATGTACAATGGAATGTTACGTGGCCATAAAAAAAAAATGAAATCTTACCATTTCCAAGAACGGAGACCTAGAGAGTATTATGTTAAGTGAAATAAGTCAGTCAGAGAAATAGAAATACCATATGATTTCAATTATATGTGGAATCTAAAGAACAAAATAAACAAAACACAAACAGCCCGGGCCAGGTAGTTCAATTGGTTAGAGCATCGTCCCAGTACGCCAAAGTTGTGGGTTTGATTGCTGGTCAGGGCACATACAGAAGCAACCAATGAATGCATAAATAAGTGGAACAACAAATCAATATGGATCTCTTAAAACTCAAACGATAAAGTTTTTTTTAAAAAAAGAAGTACAGCCCTGACTGGTTTGAAGGGTCCCGAGTTCGATTCCAGTCAAGGGCATGTACCTTGGTTGCAGGCACATCCCCAGTAGGGGGTGTGCAGGAGGCAGCTGATCGATATTTTTCTCTCATCGATGTTTCTAACTCTCTCTCCCTCTCCCTTCCTCTCTGTAAAAAATCTATAAAATATATATTAATTTAAAAAAAGCAGTACAAATCGTAGTTACAAAATAGTCATGGGAATGTCAAGTACAGCATAGGGAATAGAGTCAATAATACTCTAATAACTATGTATGGTGCCAGGTGGGTACTTGAATTATTGGGGGGATCACTTTGTAAATTATATAATTGTCTAACTAGTATGCTGTACACCTGAAACTAGTATAAAATAATAATGAATAAAAATAAATTTAAGCCGAAACCGGTTTGGCTCAGTGGATAGAGCATTGGACTGCGGACTGAAAGGTCCCAGGTTCGATTCTGGTCAAGGGCATGTACCTGGGTTGCGGGCACATCCCCAGTGGGGAGTGTGCAGGAGGCAGCTGATCGATGTTTCTCTCTCATCGATGTTTCTAACTCTCTATCTCTCTCCCTTTCTCTCTGTAAAAAATCAACAAAATATATTTTAAAAAAATAAAATAAAATAAATTTAAAAAATAATACTGAATGTCAATTATAATTGAAAAATAAAAATTTTTTAAAATTACATTAGCTCACCCAGCTGGTGCGGCTCAGTAGTTGAGTGTTAACCCATGAACCAAGAGGTCCCAGGTTTGATTCTGGGTCAGGACACATGCCCTGGTTGCCAACTCAATCCCCAGTAGGGGGTATACGGGAGGCAACCAATCAATGTGTCTCATATCGATGTCTCTCTCTCTCTCTCTTCTCTCTCTCTCTCTCTCTTTTCTCCTTTCCCTCACTCCCTCACTTCTACTCTTTCTAAAAGTCAATGGAAAAATATCCTCGGGTTGGGATTAACCAAAATAATAATAAATTTAATTTTTTAAAAAAGCCTCCTATGGCAGACCCCCCTGGCTGGCTATACTGGTGCCCAACCCCAGAGCCTGGAAAAGCCAAATGATAGGTTCCCAGCCTCCCTCGCAGCCAGAGGTGGCCACAGGACACAGGTCTAGCCAGATATTTAAGTGAAAGTCTGCTTTTGCTTTCTTTTTCTTCCTGCCTGGCACACAGCCCTGAAGCCTGGACCAGAGGCAGCCATCTTGGAATATGACGCAACAAACATCGATGAAAGGCAACTCATCCAGCGGAGTGGATTTCTAACTAAATGCCTAGAGACAGAGAAAGTGATAGCAAGGAGGAGGAAGGAGTGAGAGATTAAATGCAGGCCTCCAGTTTGGGCAAATGGGTGGATGGTGGGGCACCCTTCACTGAGAACTGGCCTAAGGGTGGGAGGGAAGCAGGTCTGGGAGGAAGGCGCAGAGGCCAAGTCAGGACAGGCTGAATTTGGTGTGGGAATCAGGGCAAGAAGCCAAGTAGATCTGGGGCTAAGAGGAGAGGTCTGATTAGAGATCTGGGAAGCCCCTGGCATAAAGATAGACATGAGCTCCCTAGAACGACATGTAAAGTGAAAGAGAGAGAGCCCGTGCTGGCACCTGCAGGATGCCCTCTGCATAGTCCTCATGTGTTCTGCAGGCCTGGCTTTCTGTCATGGTGGGTGAACCAGGTGAATAATGCTTTCTTCTAGGTGGGGAGCCAATTAAAAGTTAATTGACCTCCCAGAGCCAAGTGAGTGGGTGGATGCCAGGTGCTGAGTGCCTGGCAGGGCTGTGAGATTGGTGAGGGGAGGGTCCCCTGAGGAAACAGGACCTGGGTTACTGGCAAAGGTCACTGGTTGCCACCCTGTATCCTACCCCTCTTCCTCTTTGTTAACAGAGATCTTACTCACCACAGGCAGCGACTGCACAGACTAAAACACTATATTTCTCATTCTCCCTTGTAGCTAGAAGTGACCAATGAGATGTGAGATATTATTAGGACTACCTGGAACGTCCTATATAGGTGGCTATGGGAGATACCTGGAAAGTGGCATGTCTGACCTTCCACCTTCCTTCCACCTGCCTGGAAAGAAATGTGATGGAGAGAACCCCAGCAGCCATTAGATTCATGAGGGGTCCTCAAGGCTAGAAGTCAACACTGGGTATCCAAAGACACTGTGGGGCCACCATACCAGCCCAGACCACCTGTTTCCAGATGTCTTTTATGCAAGAGGAAAAAAAACTATTAATCTGTTGACGCTACTGCTTTTATTTTTGTTAGGATTTTTTTTGAGGGGGGTCGAGGACTGTTACTTGCAGGTGAGTGTAATCCTAGCTAAGAGGATAAGCCTTGATGGATGAGTTGAGCTCATTGAGGTCTCCCTTGTCAGCCAATGGGCAAGGGGCCTTACATGATGGTTCTCATAGAATTCCTTCCCCAACCCTACAGGGCGGGTTCTCTTATTATCCCCATTTTTTAAATATATTAAAGAAACTGAGACAAAGACAAGAAACATCATCTGCCCAAAGCCATAGCTGGGATTGGACCCACAGACCATCTGTTTGTGCAGCCAATGCAGGGGCAGGAAGGAACCCAGGCATGTGTGAGGGTGGGAAGATGGCCTGGCCTGGCACTGAGGCTATGGAGAGGCCACGGCCACAGTGGAACAGGAGACAGAATGGACAGGAAGGACCAGACGTAATCCTGTGGACATGGGAGCCACAGGAAGTTTCTGGGCAGGGTGGAGACACTACCCTAACTCGGAGAGCCAGGGTATTTGGTGTGGGAATCAGGGCAAGAAGCCAAGGAGATCTGGGGCTAAGAGGAGAGTACTCCTGAGAGCAAGAATCTGGGAGTAGACTGCCTATCTGATTTGCTCAGTCCTGTCTTTTAGGCCAGTGAGCCTCATACTTTAGAACACAGCAGAGTCACCTAAGGCTTGATGGAAATGCAAATTTCTATCATGGGTGGTGACATCTGAGGACCTGCCTGCTCAATATTCTTCCCCCTTTTCTAACAGGAACCCCAGCACTCATGCTCTCAGTCTACTCCTCTATTCCCTTGGTTCTTGGGGTGGCCCCAGCCTGGCCTATCACAGGAGCTGGTTCAGGGAGGTGTCTGTGACCAAAGCCTGGCCAATGAGCATCAGTCTCTAGGCCTTCTGCTGCTGAAACATTAGGGACTACTTTCTTCCCACCACTAAGGAGCAGGTTTAATTATCATGAGGCTGGTAAGATCATGACAAATAGCTAATATTGATCATGGGCTGACTAAATGCCAAGTTCACTGTTCCTAAGACCATTCATTACATATGCCACCATCAACCCTCATGGCAACCACATGCAGACCAGAAAACTGATGCACTGAGAGGTTAAGCAGCTTTCCCAGGGCAGCAAAACCAGAAAAGTAACAGATGAGCACTTCAATCACACCATGAACCCTTTCTCCACCACCTCTCCATGAGCCTGGAGCCAGAGACCACCACTGTTCGAGAATGAAGGAAGCCAAGGCAAAAGAGAGGAGAAAAGACACTCAGAGAAACAGGTCTGATGACATCTTTCAAGCCCCCAGACCCAGCTGTGCCCTCTGGACTTTAGTTACTTGAGTCAATATTTCCCTCTTTGACTGGATCTCTGCCCACTGAGGATCACAGCATGTTTGGCATGGGAACTCCGGGGAGTACCAAGGGTCACCATTTCTCAGGACTTTGTGTTCCCGAAAAGGGCCCTCACATCTCCTACCTTCCCTCTCCCTGCAAGGTTAAGTCCCCAATCTGGAGCACATTAGGTGTTTTCAGTGATCTGGTCCATCCTTCTGCCCCTGGGCATGGCCCTTCCCACATTCTCTCTCCAGAGCCCCAAAAGAACCCCAAGAACTCTAAGGACCGCAAGACAAAGGATCTCCATTCCACTCTCTCCTCCTTGGGAGCTGTCTTTTGGCCCACACACAAGTAGGAGGACCTCAGGTAATTCCAAGCTCCCCCCACCCCCAGTCTGTCCCCACCCACCTGCCGCTGGGACTCATAGAGGATGCGATCCATGGTGTTCAGCAGCGTCATGCTCTTATAGAACTTGAGCACCTTCTCCTGCGGCAGCTGCAGATAGAGGCACAGAGATATGTGGGGCCAGTGGGACCAAAGAGGACATGGGCAAAGGGCCTGGGCATGGGAAGCAGGGGGTGGGGGAGAAGGCCTCTTACATGGGGATCCTCACTGGGGTTGATGATCTGGCCCTGACGATCCATGACACGGTAGATGGGGATCCCAGAGATGACATTGGGTTGCATGAATTCCAGCTTGTCTATGAACTCTGCTGAGGCCCCTGGGAACTGGGGCTTGTCATCCAGGGATGAGAAGTGCTGTTCCTGCTGCCTCTGTGGATGCTGGGGAGGGAAACGGAGAACGCCTGAGTCAGGAGCAGCACCCAGGTTCCACTGGCTCAACTCCATGGGGACAGTCAGTATGGCCTCATGGATAAGTCACCGTGGCTCAGGTGGACTCTGGGGCCTGACACATAGGGTGTGAATTCCAGCTCCACCACTCTCCCATTGCAAAACCTTGGGCAAGTTACCAGAGTGTCTTTGTGTCTT